GGGGGGGGGGGGGGGGGGGAACCTTACCCTTCCCTTCAGTCATGCCGTGCCCGGGATCACCTGCATCATGAGGCCAGCTTGGCTGTGGCCCCTGGGCGGGCTGCTGTATGCACACACCACGCTATGAAACAGGCCCGCCTCTGTGCCCAGCTCCTGCAGACACGTGTGACAGTGGTCTGCCTGGGGTCCGCTGCCCCGACTCTCCCGTGTCTCGCCCATCCCTGTAGCCTCAGGGCCTACCGGAGCGCCGGCCAGATAGGAGGTGCCCGGCAGGCGCCCGCCGAATGAAAGAGAAGCTTGTGACAAGGGTTTTTCTTGTCCCGTTTTACTTGTGATGTGTTTTTTGCCACGTTACAGGGGTTTTGTCGGAGCTCGGCTTGGAAAAGGAGCACATGACCAAGCAGAGGGTTGAACAGTATGTTTTGAAGCTTGATGCTGAAGCGCAGACAAAATTTAAGTCCTTTCTGCAAAACTCCTTTCAGAATCCGCATACGCTCTTTGTCCTGATCCACGACCACGCCCACTGGGACCTCGTGAGGTGAGCGTGGCTTTGGCGTATGGTGGGGTTGCCATTTTATTATGTTAATAGATGGGGGACACTTGGGGCTGTGGGTACAAGCCTTGAAAAGATGAGTAACGTTGGGGGTTTTGGCATTTGTAAGCCGATGCCATGGATGCGTTCCAGAACGTTAGAGCTGGAGGGCATCTAGACTGGCCCGAGGGCTGTGCATTTAGACATTGCCACTGACTGGGTGAGGAGGGAAGGGAGATCCTGGGTCAGATCGCACAGGGGCGCTCTGATTTAGCACAGAGTCAGAAGCTTAGGGCTGGCCAGAAACTCAGAGATCACCTATACGAAGGGCATGCAGCATCGGGTCCCTGCATTTGTACATCCGGAATTGTAGAAAGAGCTGTATTGTGAATATCCATTTGGACGTAGGTTTCTCCGAGTAGCTCCCTGCCACCGAAAGGGCTAATCACTTTGTTTTCTCTGTTTTGCTGGATGGCTGGAAGGGAAGGCTGAGGCCGTGGCCCACAGGGAACGGCTGAGCTGTGCTGCCCTCCTTGGCTCCTTGGCCAAAATGCTTCCCCTTCCTGGTCCTGTTCTTTAAATGTAATACAGAGTGTGCCATTTTATATCCTCTCAGGATCGCTTCAGGTCAGTAGGAGTCTCGGGGGAAAATTTCAGGAGACAAGTACGCAATGGGATGGGGCCACAAAGGAGCACTCCTGGGTGAGAGTCACTGCTCTCGAGGAGTAGGAGGATTGTGTAGCCTGCAAAGCAGTCCTCCATGAATACTGTTCCCCCAGCCAGGTTTTTAATAAGCGATGAGTGTCAGGGCATCCCTGATGCACAGAGCCAGAAGCTTTGATCACTTGCAGATTTGGGGGGTGGGGCTAGTTACACACGTATTCAACTGCTTGATCCTCGTAAAATTCCAGAGTGCCTTCGTTCCACTCACTGTTGCTTTCCTCCCCTTTCCTTCCTCAGTAGCGCTGTTCATAATCTCTATTCCCAAAGTGACCCGGCTGTGGGATTGGTGGACCGGTTGCTGAACTGCAGAGAGGTGAAGGAGGCCCCGAACATCGTGACGCTTCATGTGACTTCCTTCCCTTACGCTCTGCAGACACAGCACACCCTCATCAGCCCTTACAATGAGATCCACTGGCCCGCCTCCTACAGCAATGTGAGTGCCGCCGGGCTGTGGGGCCTGGGGTCACAATGACACCAGCTGAGGTGGGAGAAATTCTGGTTAGTAAGACTCCTGATTGACTAGCGTCGTTTGGGGGCCAAGTGGGTCCCCGTTTCTTGGGTCTTTGAGTTGACCCAGAGTTAGATTGTAACCCCTTCCTGGTCTTTAGAAACTCTCCCAACATACATTAGTTAGATTCCCCATCTTAACGTGTGTAGGGAGGCACTGTTCTGAGGGCTTTGTCATATGAACTCCTACACGAGGCAGGGGCTTGGACGATTTCTGATTTGCAAATGGAGAGAAGAAGACTGAGCCACTCGTCCAAAGACTGTGCAGCCAGATAGTGGCAGAGCCAAGAAGTGACCCAGTCCGCCTGGCTCTGTGGCCCCCACGCTCAACCGTGGTGCTGTTTGAGGGCAAAGGTCGTGTCTTTGCAGTTTTATCTGCTACGCTCTGACTTTTGAGAGGCTCTGATGATAGTTTGGGAGGAATGTTAAGTCAGTGGGAGTGAAATTGATTAGGGGGATGCATTTTTTTTTTCCTGCTGATTTCAATAGCAGCTGAATGTCAGATGGTTGATTTGCCTTTCCCTAAAACTAGCTTAAAATGGTTGGAAAGAAAGTCTTAACAAAGTTGTGGGTTTAAAGAACGAGGCTGATTTTCTTCTTGGCAAAGGCACTGGGGTCAAATGAATGGAAAAGTGTTGACGGATAGGGATGCACCCTCCTTTCAGTAGAGAACGCTCTGTGCTCTGGGTCTGCGGAGAGAAGTTAACATATAAAGCATCGTGCAAAGGACAACAGAGTCAGCACCATTTAGATCAAGAGGCTGGTCCTGGTCATCTGCGGCGTGTGAATCTCTGAGTCCCCACAAATGCAGTGTCTGAGTGACCGATGTTCCTCTCTGTTTTAGGGGGTGGACTTATATCCTGAGAACAAGAAGTACTTCGGGCTGTCAGAGTTCATTGAGTCCACCCTTTCGGGACACAGCCTCCCTTTGCTCAGATATGACAGCTCCTTTGAGGCCATGGTCACGGCATTAGGAAAAAGGTACACGTCTCTGTTGGAAGTTGCTACAAATGCTCAGGATTCCCGTGCCAGTGGAAGCATGTGCAGCCAGAGAATTCCAGGGAGGGAGCCGCCTTCCTCCTTTCCTGGGTGACAGTCCCTCCACGAAAGGGACCCTGGCTTATTTCTTGCCCTGCGCGTTGGGCCAGTGATATCTGTTGTGCCATTGTTCTAGAACGTTTTAGAAATGAGAATGGGCAGAAACATGTTGGAATGTGGAATGGGGTGTTTGAGACTCAGGGAAACCAAGGAAGTGGGAGGTAAGACACCCAAAGGTTTTAAGGGGAGTGACGGCGACAGTCCCAGGGGGCTTCATCTCTCACGTCCTTTGTGTATCATCTGTTGAGTGCTGGTTGAGTGCTCGGCGCTGCTCCTTAGTTTCACTATCTTATTCAGTCCTCGCCACTTCTCTCGCCGTTGCTATGATTATCTCCCTTTTGCAAGTAAACAGAGGCTCAGAGGGGCCCCCGTGACTTCCTTGGGCCACACGTCGGGCAAGGGCTGCAGCCGGTTTTGTGAACCTCCAGAATCAGCCCGACTCTGCAGCCGGCCCTTTTAGCCCGTGTCACAGCAGACCTCTGAGGTGGATTTTAATGCTGCCATTTCCGAGACAAGGAAACCGAGGCCCCCGGAGGTTAAACGATTGCCGCCATCCACACGGTTTGTACGTCGGGAAGCCCGGCCAAGTTTTACAGACTGGCTAGTGCGAAACAAAATGATCTCTGCCGCTAACTATTGGTGTTGAGCTGGGCCCTGCCACCTGCCCTCACGGCACCTCGTCCTCACTTGCCAACGAGGGCGTTAAACCAGGTGTGTGCTTCTCAAGTTGTGTTCCAAGCTGTCTTCCAAGCTGTCCTGCTTTGGCTGGATGCTGACGGCTGTTTCTGCCGAAAGGGGTTCCACGGTCACCCGTGTCGGAGCACCCTTACGTTTAAGGTTTGCTTTTCCACGAGAGTCCCCGAGCCTTCAGTTGCCCCGCGTGCTGTGACTAGAGTGGAACTAGAGTAGGTGGCATCTCCTGGACATCGGGGGACTGGTGTTCCCCAGAATGCCCTTTGAGGAACGAAATCCCTTTCGGCGCGGTGACGCTGATGGGCTTAATCAGGCCGCTTCTCCGCCTCACACACGGGCAGCCGAGAGCCATAAACTTGCTGAGCGAGGGAGCCCCGCCTCTGCCTCTCTGCCCTGCTCATGCACCTCCTCCTGCTGGCTGCTTAGCGAGCTGTAGGTAACTTTGGGCCCAATACCCTACGTGTATTGCCTTGTGTAATCCTCACGGCGGCACGGTGAGATGGATCCTGTTACCCCCATGTGGCAGAGGAAGATACACACTTAGGTCACGTGGGAGGTCACGTGGGAGGTTTTGGAGTGAAGCCAGACCAAGTCCTTGCCATCGACTCCAAAACAGTAGAACCACTAACTATACGTATGGAGGAGGGTCTCACGGCTAGTGGCCAGGGGACCATACGTTCTGGCTTTATACTTTATTAGTCTTTTTTTATTAAAAAAATTTTTTTATATGTTTATTCATTTTTGAGAGACAGGGAGAGACAGATCAGGAGTGGGTGAGGGGCAGAGAGAGGGGGAGACAGCATCTGAAGCAGGCTCCAGGCTCCAAGCTGTCAGCACAGAGCCCAACGCGGGGCCCGAACCCTCGAACCACGAGATCATGACCTGAGCCAAAGTCGGGCGCTTAACCAACTGAGCCACCCAGGCGCCCCTATGCTTTATTAGTTTTAACCTTCAGCAAACCCACCGAACCTGTCTGAACTTCCGTACCCTCACCTGGGAACAAATCTACTTTTCTAGTGGCTTCTCATGAGAGTTTTCAGGAAACACGAGCCTGTGCAGGCTCAGGAACAGTTGTACGCTGAGCGCTCAGGCTCCAAAGTCACACTTCCTTCCCAGGGTTCCTTCCTTCCCAGGGTTCGAGTCCTGGGTCTGTGCCTTATGAGCTGAGACTTTAGAAAAGTGTCTCAATCCTCTGTGGGGATAAGAGTACCTAGCACATGGGAATGTCATGAGGGTTCAGTGGACGAATACACACAAAACGTTAAGAGCAGTGCCTGGCGCACATTACGTGCTCATGTCAGCTGCCACTGCCGTTGTCACCACCATCACAACTGTCCCTGTCACCACCATCCTCTTCCTTTCCCGCCCCTCTGCTAAACTGGAAGTGTTGCACAGAGATGAAAATTCACATTTCACGGAGTGAGAAGAGAACATCAGGCTTTGGAGTGTTGAGTTATGGAGAGTCCTAGGGACTCCCAGGAATCACTTCACCCAACCACCCCATTTTACAATTGTGAGAACTGGGGCCCGGAGAGGAGAAGCGATTTGCCCGAGGTCACACATCCAGTTTGTGGCAGCCCGGACCGTAGCCAGGTTTGACGTTCTTTCCGCCACACCATGCTGCCCTTCCTAGGAATCCTGTGTCTGGAAAACTCTCTCGAAACAGGCAACTGGGACAGAAGGCAATAAAGGTAAGAACACATTGGTTACTGCCTCTCCCCACCATGTGCGTGGCCAGACTGTTGATTCGCCATGTGTTGCACACAGACCCCAGCATATGGCTGGAAAATCTGTCTAGGAAGCCGCAAATCTGACACAAACTTATTGGGACTTAAGAGATTTAGACATTTAACAACTCCCATTTTTATTCTGGTATGTTTTCTGGGGAGCTTCCTTCCTGTAGAGCCAACCACAAAGGCTTAGGGGCAAGCACATTGCACCTGTACGTGCTGTTTGGAGCTGGGCGAGTTCTTGCCTCCCATACGGTGGTTCTTTTTTTTCTTTTTTTAAACAATAGCTTTAGTGAGGAGTAAGTGACATAGAGTAAACTGCAGATATTTAAAGCGTTCAGACTTTAATTAACTTGTTTTTATTTTAATTTTGTAATGTTTATTTTTGAGAGAGAGCACGTGAGTGTGGGAGGGGCAGAGAGAGAGGGAGACACAGGATCCAAAGCAGGCTCCAGGCTCTGAGCTGTCAGCACAGGGCCCGACGCAGGGCTCGAACTCACGAATCGTGAGATCATGAGCTGAGCCGAAGTCGGACGCTTAACCGACTGAGCCACCCAGGTGCCCCAAAGTGTTCAGACTTTTAATCTGTTACTGATTTGAAGCAAATTAAGATCCGCCATGGTATAATTTTCTTCACGTTTCTTTGTCCTGACTTGAGTTTTCAGCAAGTATGAGAACAATTCGGTCCTTGTTTCCTCTAATTTCTTTTTTTCTGCGTTCCTCCTCCTCCTCCCTTTTAGAGCGATCCAATGCCACGTACGTTAAGGTGCTTGAAGTTTCAGCTCTCCGATGCTACGGTCCTTGGTTTTTGCTTCCCTCTGTTTCATTTCAGATCGTTCCTTTTGCTGTGTCTTCCCGTTTCCCGATCTTTTCGACAGCAGCCCCCAGCCTGTGCTTCCGTTTCCCCGCTGGCGATGGCGGAGCGGTGTTTGACGCGCCCTCTGAGGGAGGCTTGTGTTGCAGGTTGGATGCAGGCGGCTCCGGAAGGAAACGCCACGCGTCTGCGATTCCGGGGTCTCGCCGCCCCCGAGCCGGCGGATGTGTTGGGCCACGTGGCGGCTGGGCAAAGGCCGCCGCCGTGGTGTCGTCGTCGTCGTGATCCTCGCGGAGCGCCCCGGGCATCCTGGAGCCCCGCGGCAGCGCGGTCACGCTCCGCCTCTCTTGTTTGTTGCAGGTTCCCCCGCCTGCACAGCGCGGTGATCAGGACCTTTGTTCTCGTGCAGCACTACGCGGCCGCCATGATGGCCGTGAGCGGCCTGTCGCAGATGAAGAACTACACGTCGGTGGAGACGCTGGAGATCACCCAGAACCTCATCAACTCCCCCAAGCAGTGCCCCTGCGGCCACGGGCTCATGGTCCTGCTGCGGGTGCCCTGCTCCCCGCTGGCGGCCGTGGCCTACGAGCGGCTGGCCCACGTGCGGGCACGCCTGGCCCTGGAGGAGCACTTTGAGATCATCCTGGGCAACCCCAGCTCCGGCATCACCGTCGGGAAGCACTTCGTGAAGCAACTCAAGGTGGGCGCGGCGGTCGGGGACGGGCGGGGTGGAAGATGCCCGGCAGGGTAGGGGTGGGGTGGGG